AGGGTCGGGTGGGAACCGGGTGGAGGGGGGGGGAGGAACAACTGTAACAATCTGAACAATAAAGATTTAATTAAAAAAATAAAATAAAAATGAAACTTGACTTTGCTTTTTCAGATCCCTTGTATTTTCCTATAAATTTTAGAATTGGCTTGTAAAAACAAAACAGCCTCCTGGAATTTAATTGGGATTATATGATATATCAATTTGGGGAGACTTGACATCTTAAGAATACTGCATCATCTGATTCATGAATTTGGCATAGCTGTCCATTTTTGTATGTTTTTGAATTTTACTCTGCTGTTTTGTTTTTATTAGTATATAGCTCTGGTGTATATTTTGTCAAATTTATCCTTAATCATGACATAGGTTTTGATGTTATTAAACATAGAACTCTTTAATTTCTTGTTATTTGTTACTAGTATTTTAAAATTGATGTTGTATCTTGCAACACTACTAAATTTACATACTATTTCTAGGAGCTTTATCATAGATTCAGTCTGTGTTTTTTTTTAAGTTGGGTTTCTATACACATGATAATGTTGTCTGTGAATAAAAAAAGTCTTACTTCTTTATTTTTAATTGTTATGCTTTTGTTTCTTCCTTTTTGTTGTCAATTTTTCCCATTGACTTTTTTTTAGAGAGATTGGAAGGGAGAAAGGGGGAAGGAGACAGAGACAGATGAAAGAGAGAGAAGGGGGGAAAGAGAGAGAAAGAGAGAGAGAGAGAGAGAGAGAGAGAGAGATTGGGATTTTTGTGTTTACTTATTTTAATCAGTTTTTCTATCAGTTGCCAAGGAGAGGTGTTAAAATATCAGTTATGTGCCCTTGACCGGGAATCGAATCCTCAACCCTACGTTCTACAAGCCAACACTCTAACCATTGAACCACACCCACCAGGGCTATTTCTTGCCTTATTGTACTAGTTAGACTCACCAATACAATATTGAATAGAACTGACCTGTTCTTTATCTTAGAAGGAAAGCACTAAGTGTTTATTATCAAACAAAAAATATGTCTTACACAGACTCTTCTATTGAAGTAAAAGAGAATACTTTGCAATTCATATTAGGACACCAGCATCACCTTGACAGCAAAATCTAACAAGCAAGATTCCAGAAAGAAAAGGCATAACCCAACCAGCTGCTATGATGCCCACTGACCACCAGGGGGCAGACACTCAATGCAGGAGCTGCCCCCTGGTGGTCAGTGCGCTCCCACAGAGGGAGCACCGCTCAGACCGAAGCTGAGCTCATGGCTAGCAAGAGCAGCTGTGGCAGCAGGAGCCTCTCCTGACTCCGCAGCAACACTACCCAAAGGGGAGCAGCGGCAGCAGGCACAGTGGGCCGGGATGAGAGTGAGTGGCAGGGCACCTGGCCCCAGTTCAGGCTCCTCCCTGGCCACCTGCTGCTTGGTGCACTGCTACATCCCGAGGGGTCCTGGATTGCGAGTGACTATGTCAGAGCTTATAAACTGCTACATCCCACACACAGTTCAACAAGGAAGTTGGCTTCTGCAGTATTTGAAAAAGAGATTCATGGATGCTTAATCTTAATTCATCAGAAAAATCTACAAACTGTCCACATCCTATTTATTCTACATGGGGATGAACATGCATTCCTATATATTAGGAACAGTCTCTGAGATTTAAAAATTAAAAAACTGGCAAGACTACTCTAACACTGAAAAAACAGGATGATGCAGCGATGACATGCATGGACTCTTGCTTGCACATTTTGTGGTAAGCCCTGATTCTGACACTTATAACTGTGTGACAAAGCCAATTACTTAATTTCTCTCTGCTTCAGTTTTTCCCCCCATAAAATGGTGAAAATGGTACTACTGCCTCAGAAGGATCATGTTATGTACTACTTTTTATAATCAGGGCAAAAAAATGTAGCTGCCCACACAACAGCAAGATGCCTTTCATCTGTATGAAAAGTATGGTCACTGGTGCATGCAGTGTCCTGGATTGCGAGAGGGATGTCTGACTGCCGGTTTAGGCCCGATCCCCATGGGCCTAAACCGGCAGTCGGACATCCCCTGAGTGGTCCCAGACTGCAAGAGAGCACAGGCCGGGCTGAGGGACTGCCCCCCCCCCCGCCCCTGTGCACGAATTTTGTGTACCAGGCCTCTAGTATAAAAATAATAAAACATCACAATGAAGTTAGGTTTATTTCAGGAACACACAATTAAATAATTGAAAATCAACCAATGTAATTCACCATGTTAACAGAATAAATGAGAAAAGGGGATAGGGCCTAAGCGGGCAATCAGACATCCCTGTGGCAGCCCACAAGCCCTCAGGGGATGTCAACCTGCCAGCTTACTAGTAGGCCCGCTCCCCAGGGGAGTGGGCCTAAACCAGTGGTCAGCAAACTGCGGCTCGCGAGCCACATGCAACTCTTTGGCCCCTTGAGTGTGGCCACGAAGTTTCAATCGCACTGTACGTGCATGCCCACACATGGCATTTTGTGGAAGAGCCACACTCAAGGGGCCTCAGTTTGCCGACCACTGGCCTAAGCCATCAGTCGGACATCCTTAGAGCTACCAAGGAGAAGGGAGAGGATCCCGCCACCGCCGCTGCGTTGGCCGCCGTCAGCCTGGCTTGTGGCTGAGCGGAGCTCCCCCTGTGGGAGCACATTGACCACCAGGGGGAAGCTCCTATGTTGAGCGTCTGTCCTCTGATGGTCAGTGCACAGCACAGCGACCGGTTGTTCCCAGTAATTCTGCCCTTGGGGTCAATTTGCATATTACCCTTTTATTATATGGGAATAGCCAAAAAATGGAAATAACCCAAATACTCATCTACAAATGAATGTATAAATAGTTAAGATATAATCACATATAATAAAACTAGAGTCCCGGTGCATGAATTCGGTCACAGGTGGGGTCCCTCAGCCTGGCTGGTGATCGGGGCCAATCATGGCTGTCTTGCCAAGTCCCTATGGGGGTGATTGGGGCCGGCAGGCCGGGGGTGGGGAGGGCTACGGGAGGTTGGCCCGCCATGAGAGGTTGGCTGTGGGAGCGCACTGACCACCGGGGGACAGCTCCTGCATTGAGGGTCTGCCCCCTGGTGTTCAGTGCGCATCATAGCAATTGGTCGTTCAGTCATTCGGTCGTAATGTATATATATATTTAAATCATTAAAAATAAGTGATCAGTTATACCAAACAATGTGGATGAATCTTAATAACATAATGAGCCAAAATTGCCCAACACTAAGTCACAATACAGTATGATACATTTTTAGAAATGACAAAATAAACAATATACAATTTCCACATAAATTTATATGTGCTAAAACTTTTTTAAAATAATCAAAATGGCCCTAGCTGGTTTGTCTCAGTGGATAAAGCACCAGCCTTTGGACTAAACGGTCCCGGGTTCGATTCCAGTCAAGGGCACATGCCTAGGTTGCAGGCTCGATTCCCAGTGGGGGGCGTGCAGGAGACAGCCAATCAATGATTCTCTCTCATCATTGATGTTTCTATCTCTCTCTTCCTCTCTGAAATCAATAAAAATATATTTTTTAAAAAAACATCAAAATGATTAACAGTTTAGTAGTCATGTCTGGTGAGAGATTCAGAGTACCAGATAAGCAAGGAGCATATAAGTAAATATCAGTCATTAGTAATGTTACAGTCCTTGGATTAGTTGGTGAGACCAAGGATGTTTAATATGATAAATAAACAAATTAATTAAATAAATAGGCCTATGTATATAACATAATACTGTGCAATGATACAAATTTTATGATTAATGAAGTTCTGTGAATCTGATATCCAAAATATACAACGTAAAAAAATACAATTTTCGCCGAAACCGGTTTGGCTCAGTGGATAGAGCGTTGGCCTGCGGACTGAAAGGTCCCAGGTTCGATTCCGGTCAAGGGCATGTACCTGGGTTGCGGGCATATCCCCAGTAGGAGATGTGCAGGAGGCAGCTGATCGATGTTTCTCTCTCATCGATGTTTCTAACTCTCTATCTCTCTCCCTTCCTCTCTGTAAAAAATCAATAAAATATAAAAAAAAAATACAATTTTAAAATGTATTAGTTAGTTAAGACAAAATATACTAGGTTTGAAAGTTACTGTTCTTCAATCATTAATAAACATTTAAGCACCCAATTACCTGTTTGTGTTAATTCCATTTTGGTTCTAAATTCATAAATAGTACAATTTAAAGGAATGGTGGGTGCTTAAAAACACAAATAAATGTATAGGTATACGATATTTTTACAATATATATTTATAGATGAAACTTACCTTAAAGATTACCTAAAAAGAAGTACAAATGAATATTTGCTATATGTCAAACTCTACACTTGTCATGAATTATAATACTGATCCTCAAAAACTTTATGACATGGATACCATTATTATCAACATTTTATTTGTGAGGAAACTTTGGCTGAAAGGATTAAAAGACATTTGTTTGTTCAAGTACACAAAGCTCACAGGCAGAGCTGTAATTTGATCCCAGATTTATTTGAATTCTGAACCTGCATATTTATCTATACATTTGTACTGCCTCACTTAATAACACAGGATATAGGTAGAAAGCTCAACTTAGAACTGTCTAAAATCACGCATCAAGGCAGTGGCAGAACTGGGACTAAAAGGTATTAAGTACCATGTACCATTATTACAAGTACTTTATAACATTTCCCATCCAATACTCTTTCCGTTCTATTAACTCATTCAGTTAAAAAGTCTCAAAATGGCCATGACCTATTAATTTCTCTTCATTAGTGTAAATTAGCAAAATGTATAATCACAATAACTATTCAAGACTTAACCTCTAGATGCATTTCTATATGAATCCATATTATATATAATACTCATGTATACAAAGATTATAAAAAATAGCACAATGAAAACTATATGCCACAACTTATTCTCTAATACTTACAAAATTATTTAAAATTTTAGTTTTAGTCAATTGTAGGAGAGGATTTAATATGATATTGCAATGAGCAACATTTTTAGAAAACATCTCTCACCTGTTCTGAGTGATCTGAATCGCTTTCTTGAGGTAAAGAATAAGGTGCTCCTGTTGATTCCTGAAGCTTTTCTTTTAACTTAGCATTTTCTTGCTCTTTTTGAAATAGCTGATCCTGAAGGCTAACAACACTTTGCCGGAGCATAGCTTCACTTGATTTTGTGGTTTCAAAACAAATATGTAACTCATTGTAAAGCTGTTTTGAAAAATACATCCAAATCTATTAATAACCAATTAAAAATATATATATTCATGATAGTCCTGCACTCAATATAAAACCACAACTGATATTTAAAAATGCAATATGATTATTGGCCAGCATAATATAGGAAAATGTACTAAATTTCTAAGGAGGATGGAAACACTTTAAGCTAGCTATATTAATCTTGGATGGTTCCATTAAAAAAGGACTTGAACTGAGCCATTGGTGGTATTATAGAAATGGAATGAAAATAAAAGGTCATTCTAACGGTGGCAGAAATGTGAGAAAATAATGTACAGTGACAGGAAAGGACAGAAAAGGAGCATAACACATATCAACCTAATTGGACTTAATATGCACATTTGAAATAAAAAACAACAAGAGTCTTTCATTGAAAGTTCGTTAAGGTGGACCTTAACTGATATATTCCCATTTAGGATAAATTAGCATCTACTGCTCAAATAGGCGAGGAGGGAGAGAAGAAATAGTAAGAGACAACGTCAGGCAAGAAGACTATAGACAGAAGGTAAAGACACCCCGTAGACAACAGGGAATTATTAAAGACTTTGAACAAAGTGTAATAAAATAGAAGCAATGTTCTGAACGGCATGATATATAACTTTAATTTTTTAACTCAAGGCAATGTGCATTAAATTTAAAATTAGAATTTATTAAAACTGTGAGATAGCACATGGTACATAAGTGGCATCAAGCAGTCATATATGATTAACAATGGTAGTTTTCCAATACTCATGAACTTATTTCTGATGAAAATCCCAACTTTTGATTGTGATTTAATGAGACCTAATTCACTTTGTGGTAACTGATTTAAATAAAGAATCTATATGTATATTTGTTGATGAAACTGAGAAAGTGATCCAAGAGCTAAGATTTGTGTTGTTGTTATATAGATATATATATATGGCTGATAGTGAGATCTCTCTCTATATCTATGGCTAACAGTAAGATCTTGTAACCAAAGTAAAATCCCCAACGGGGTCTCAAAATTATGTAGCTAATACAGCAGGGTCTTAGATGGGGAGAATCTTCCATTAGTTGGCCTTGCTTTATGGAAAGAAACCTAACTACACAAAAGATGGCACAGTACTTTTATGTATGTATGCTATACTTTAATTTCTAAAAGTTTACAATCAAAAAAGGCTTGTGAAATCTCTTAATGCTTTTTCTCAGACATATACTTTGCCATAAAAACAAAATTCTCCAAACCATTCCTCTGACATGTAATTAGCTCAATATACTTTTTAATTTTCTATAAGGCATTGTACCTCTATATTATTATAGATACTTTAAATAATCCATTTCACTTTACAGCCAAAGTCTAAGCAATTTTTATAAAGGAAGGGTTGCCAATATGATCTATAAAGAATTTCAGGACATAAATTTGTACTTTCCTTTCCAATTACCTTTATACCAGGAAGTATGTCCAATGTCCTTTCCACAGCTGATACCGTCACATATTCTAGGAGGGAAGAGCGAGTAGAAACCTGACAGCTTTGAGGAACAATGAAGGGATCAGAGTAGGCCCTACAGTGACCTACCTGTACTATGTTGCTGCTTTCATGACTGAGTTCAGGGCAGGAAAAGAAATGCACAAAATCTGGAGACAAGAGCTAAGCTGACTTGAAAGATTTGAAACTAGGATGAGTGAAGGTCTGCCCAAGAGCATACAGAGTCAAACATTCCATTGAAAAGTTATTTAACCACTTTCTCCTATTTGTATGCTTTATTAGTACTAACCAGTCTTACCCAATCAGTACAAATTAACATCTTTGGAGGAAAATTGTAGAAAATATTATTAAAGAATTTATAGATTTCAAATTATACATCAGTAAAAATATATTTGAAAAAAGAATTTACTCCCTGGCTGGTGTTGCTAAGTGGTTTGAGTGACGGCCCGCACACCGATTCCTGGTCAAGGGCATTACCTGAGTTGCAGGTTCGATCCCTGGCCTGGTCAGGGAGTGTGCAGGAAGCAAGCAACCAATCGATGTGTCTCTCTCCCTCATCGATGTTTCTCTCTCTTCCCCTCCCTCCTTCCCTTCCATTCTCTCTAAAAATCAATGGAAAAAATATCCTTGGGTGAGGATTAACCAAAAAATAATAAATAAAATATATAAATAAATAAATACATAAATAAGAATTTACAGATTTTGGGTATTTGAGAATATCGTAAACGTTGATAAGTATTGACAAAGAAAAACTCATTTCCCTCCCATTGCCCAAGGTGCAGGCATGACAATAATGTACAATCAGGACTGGGAATCAATTTACTTCCATTAGTGCCAAGGATAAGGTACATTTTTCTCTTGAGTGTCATGTCTTGAGATCTTCCTTCACAGATATAAGGCTCTGTGCCTAATCATTTATGGAAGAAGGCTCTATCTTAATGTCTTTTTCCTCGTCTCCTGTCTCTTCTGTCTTGTTTCCATAACAATGAAGACTAACAGCAATCTTCTGTATTCTCTACTTTGCTCTCTCTGCCATGCAGTTTATGCAGTTGTATTCCTTCCTATTCAGAAGTTGCTCTGGCTTGATCTGATATCACTGAGTAGGCAACTCTAGACACTGAGGCAAGCTCTGTCTTTCTCTGAAACATCCTTCCAAGCAACAGATAAAAAAGAACTGAGAAAGCCTGGAATAGATGCTAGACCTAGACCAGCTCTGCTCCGGGAATTAGGACAAAATCTCTCTTTTTCCTTCTTCATATTCCAATGTACATTTCCTACTTTCATATTTTCTCTGCTAACTGCATGGGCTTCACTTATTTAATAGGAATAAGACCACTCAGTTGTGAATTTAGAGTAAAGAATGTAAAGACAGCCTTTAGCCATTTTTAATTCTAGGCCCAGTCTACCAGTAAATTTGGCTTTAAAAAAAAAGCTTCAATGAAGTTAAGATTATTTTTTCATTTCTAATATATTTTATGGTGATGAACCCCTAGGATAATAGAATATTTATTTTTCTAGATCTTGCAAGGGGCAACGGTTTAGGATATTCCAGTCCCCAATTAAGTACCATCTATTCTCATCTCATTAATAACAGTAGAGTGGGTAAAAAAAAAGTTCTCAAGTGAGTAAAATAGATAATATAGTAATTTCATTCATCTGCAATGGTTTAGGCATCTTGAGTTAATAACTCTTTCCATATTAACAATCACAACTGCTTACAGCAGTTTTCAGAGGAACTTTTCTCTACAATTTCTTTCCTCTAATAGTCGATAAATATGGAATGTATCAGCATCTTTTGCAAAATTCTGGCCTATGCAAACATTTAATCATATATTCCCCTATATACTTTAGAAGTACCATCCTCATAATTCCTGAGTAACTTATTATGCTTATTATTCTTCAAGCAATAGTTTGTTGAAGAAATTTAAAAATGAAAAAAGATTAAGAGGATTTCCAAGAGACAGAAAGCAAGTTATCTCGAGAAACAGGGCCCCAAACTTCAAGTCCTTTAATTTTCAGGGGCTGAGACTACAGCATTCTTTTGCCCATATTTTTACTAGTGCTGCGAAAAAAAATGGTATTTTATTTTCCTTAAAAAAATAAAAATATATGCTCTATGACCCAATAACTAATTTGCTTAAAAAACAAAATTTCCATATTTAGTGAGTAAGTATACTATTTGCTACTCTGATTGAGACAGTAAGTTCTACAGGTGAAAATTTTATCTCTTTATAGTAGAAAAATGAGAAGGCAAAGTTCTGATTTAACATGCAGTTTAAACTAAAACTATGCATAACTTAACTCCTTATTCTCCTGAATTGATATTAGCTCGTGTCATATAATTATGATTAAATAGAACAAAAGGTGATAAAATACATATTTAGAATGCAAAACATGTTAGGTGATCTAGAAATCATAATGATACAATTCCCACCTTTATTTAAAGGTACACATGTATACACCAACAAAGGTAGAAAAATTATTAGAACTTATATAAATGGCTAGATAGTCAGAGGAAGAAAACACACTAGCTTACTTTTATTTCTCCTGGGTGTTTTTCTTCCAGAGCAGCCATGAACGTTACTTGTTGGGTAGTTTTATTTATAGGACTAATGGTCTGTTATACAGATCTGTGGAAATATATGACACACCTCTATCATGTGTTCAAAATTCTTTTCAGTTTTCTCTCTTCACCTTTGTCTCTTACCCCTCATCCTGCTACTGTGGGCAACAGATTTTTTTGTTTGTTTGTTTTGTTTTTAAGTATATTTTATTTATTTCAGACAGGAAAGGAGAGGAAGAGAGAGATAGAAACATCAATGATGAGAGGGAATCATTGATCGGCTGCCTCCCGCACATTGGACTGAGTCCACAACCCAGGCATGTACCTTGATTGGAATCGAACCTGGGACCCCTCGGTCCTCAGGCCGACGCTCTATCCACAGAGCCAAACCGGCTAGGGCGGGGCAACAGTTTTTCTTATCTCTTCACATACTGAAATGGATAATATGATACAAATCATCTTAATAATGGAAAAAAGAGGAGAAGTGGGAGGGAAACAAAACAAAGTAAAGAAAAGAGAGAGGAAACAGACATAAACTAATTAGAAACAATAACTTAAGAATACCTAATTCTTAAAGTAGCAAGCTTAGTAAGAATTAGAGGTGAACTATTAATATAATATTTTATTTATTTTTTATTCACCTGAGTCTTACAGCTAGGCCACAATTATTATTTGGGAAAAAAATAAATTAATTTATGTGAAAATATATTGGAAAATCTTAATTTTTAAGTAAACAATTTTATCTCATTGTTGAATGGACTATTAAATTACTCCATTTTATTGGAGGAAATTTTAGAAAAATACATGTGGAAGAGGAATAGAGACAAGTATTAAGTAAATTGCTCTAGGATTAGAATGAATAATTTAATATAAATGAAGACTGGAAGTCTAAAGAGTAGCACACTCTTTACTTGTGATAAATAAAACAGTATGATCATTCCCAAATTAAAAAATCCTGAACTCCAAAATAAATATATTTTCAAAGAAAAAAGAAAAACAAGACCTCCTGCAGAAAATGAAAAATCTAAAGGAGATCAAAAAGTTAAAAATTGCAATATTAGAGCAAAATTTTAAAAAAGCAAATTTGGACAATCAGTGGCTGAAAAATAATGATGGGGCTCTTTTCACAGAGAATAACATGCTACATTGGAATATAAATTACCATGGCATGGAAGCAAAAATTAAGAAATAAATATTTGAGTTAAATATGCAAATGAAAGAGAAAAATTTAAGTTATTAACAAGGTCCAATTTTACATGTCATTTTAGCAATGGAGACTGGTTTAGAAACAAAAGCACAATGGGCAATCTCACATAAAACAAAAAGGTGGAGCTGGTTTATTTGAAGTGGAGAGGATAGGACTACTCTTTCACTTGGTATCCACATTCTGATGGAATCCCAAAGGGAACAAATAATATAGATGGAAAAGCATGGTTCCAAAGCATCATTTAAAAGTATGTGTTTAAAGTTTACTTAATGGTTTATTTTATATTAATTGCAGATATTGAATTTTCATGATGCATTTTTCAGAAAAGGAAGTTTAAACAAAACAAAACAAAAACACAGACTGCTCAATTTAACCTCTCTACGCCTTGGTTGCTTAACTATTATGAGGGAATAACATCAATCTCATAGGGTTGGCCTATATAGGAATTAACACAGTCATATAAATAACTCAGTACATGATACAAAATATACAGAATTCAATGAAGATGTGTATTTTAAGTACTAGCTATAATTATTGCTGCTGAGTCAGTCAGAAAATCTAAACAGCTGGGTAAGCATTCTTGAGGAAATCCTAAAACAACTGGGAAGTAGAATGACTATTCAAAAGAAACACATAAAATAAAGAGAGAAAAATCCTTGGGAAATATTGACCTGAAGACCTCACCACCATACACATTGTGTTTGTGCAGATTTGCCAATAAAATAACACACAAATTCAATAATGAAAGACTGCTTTAGGTCATAAACTGGAATCCCACAAATAATTTCTCATAATAGAAAAGTAATTCCATTCTCCAAATCCATTCTGGTTTGGGGGCTATAGTCCTAGTATGTTTCATAGTAGTTATCAAAATTCAAATGAAAAATAGCCTACAGAATAAATTTATATCTATATTTTAAATGTTTCTGCTTTAACAGCCAAAAAAACCCTCAAAATTTTAAATATTACCAAATTGAATCATATTTCATTTTTAATTTTGAAGAATCACATATAAAGGGGAATAATAAAGAAATGTTGAAATCTGAAAAAATTGAATTTGACATATTTTTATAGGTTCATACATGTAAATTTACATTTTTATGACAGAATAAAAGCATACTTTTTGATATGATATACTTTCCGCTGTATGAACGTCTTCCTGATTTCTCAGTACTTTTTGCGTGTCCATATTCAGAACCTGAAGCTGTTGGATCAGCTCTGCTTGCTGTGCTGTATGTGCACTGTTCTGTTTGTAAAGATTCTGCAGTTCCTGCAGCTCCTTCCTGTGCAAAGCAAGCAATAAATAGAGAGAAGCATGAATAAAGATCATCTCAGTTAAATACTTATGTTCATCTAGATCAGCTTCCAATTTTTCCATTTATTATTTTTTACTGCAGGCAAAAATATTAATAAAAGAAATAATATATAAAGTATTTATTATTTATCACAAATATCTAGGAAGTATTGATAGAACTTCTATGACTTTCAAAGCCAAATACTTATCAATTTTCTTTTATAGCTTGATAGTAATAAAAACCCTGGATATATAGACATATTAACTTACACTTCAGTCCCAGAAATTGATAAGTATAGATGCCAATGACAGTTATCAGATAGTTTTGAATACAGGGTAAGTCAACCTTTCATTGTATACTAGAGGCCTGGTGCATGAAATTTGTGCACGGAAGGGGGGGGTGTCCCTCAGCCCAGCATGCACCCTCTCCACTCTGGAACCCCTTAAGGGATGTCTGACTGCCCGTTAACGCCCAATCCCAGTGGATCCTCTCACAATCCAGGACTGCTGGCTTCCAACTGCTTGCCTGCCTGCTTGATTGCTCCTAACCGCTTCTGCCTGCCAGCCTGATCACCCCCTAGCCACTCCCCTGCCAGCGTGATCAATGCCTACCTGCTCCCCTGCTGGCCCAATTGCCCCTAACTGCTCTCCCCTGCAGGCCTGATAGCCCCCAACTGCCCTCCCATGCCGGCCATCTTGTGTCCACATGGGGGCGACCATCTTGTGTGTTGGAGTGATGGTCAATTTGTATATTACCTCTTTATTATATAGGATTATACAGAACTTTAAATATATTAAAAAGAATCCCAAAAGACAAATGAAGTTTTCAAATCAAATTTCCTTACAGCACGATCAATTTGACCTCAAAGCCTGAGCTGAATTCCTGTGACCCTTCTAATCTAGCTTGAAGGAAATGACAAGGAAAAAATCAGAGGGAAGAAGAGTGATATAAGGTAAAACCAATCCTTCCAACCTAACAAGGTGAAATTGGTAAGGGGTCAAATGAAGTGGGATGGTAGTGATGATGACACTAAATGTCCAGGAAAACCATACCTCTGGGAAAGATTCCTATGTCAGTGAATCGTGTGATACAGATCATATAAAAATAAAATATATTTTGCATATTCAATTGGAAGGGAAATATTTATAAATATGTATTTCACAGAAATACCCTTTATGGTAGATATTTTGGAGACTATTGTTAAATGGAAACTTTTATTTACCTCTAACTTCAAACTGGTGATTCATTCATATAAGATACATCTTTTAAAAAAAGGAACAAAAAGATATGCACAGTTGTTAAAGGTGGATGAATATTAATATGGGAGGAATAAGCTCTGCTTTTTAGAGGTTTAGAATATTAATGTTCTCCAAATCCAACAACCCCTACACCCATATGAAATTTGGGTGGACACAAACATTCAGAAACATGTACCTTACACCATCTGTCTTAGTTCTTTCAGGCTGCTATAACAAAATATCATATCTGGGTGATTTGCAAACATAAATTTGTTTTTTTCTTTTCCTATTTTATGTTTTCCCATCACCATTTATCCCCTCTATGCTCTCTTCCATCTCCACTCACGCACCTCCTGCAATCACCACACTGTTGTCCATGTCCATGAGTTCTCCTTTTTTCTTTTTTGCTCAATACTGCCATACCCCTCCATCTACCCCCGCCCCTGCTAGAGCTGTCTGCCTGCTCTCTACCTATGAGTCTGTCTCTATTCTGCTTGATAATTCAGTTTGTTCAATAATTCCATATATTAGTGAATTCATATGGTACTTGTTATTTTCTGGCTTATTTTCCTTAGCATAATGCCCTTCAGTTCCATCCATGGTGTCACAAAAAGTAAAATTTACTTCCTTTTCCAGCAGAGTAGTATTTCATTGTGTAAATGTGCCGGGAGCCGGTCCATCCTTGCTGTTTCAAGGGACCTGGCATATATGGCATACTGTTCTTAATATGTTTGCTCACCTTCTTGGCACTATGTGTTTTAACCAAGGTCACCTCTCTGAGAAAGGTTGTTTCCCCAGGTAGGGATTGTCCCCTGAAGTTAGGGAGGGAATAAAACCCCTTAACTAAGTGCCAGGAGGGTAATTAATCACTTTAACTACAAACAATCATGCTTAAGCTACATAATCTTTACTCCCTGGAATGGAGATAAGAAACGCCCTAACCTTTGGAATAGAGATTGATAGGATTGGAATCAACTGGTATAAATACAGATGTAACAAGACAACAGGACACAGAACCTAGACACAGAACCTACACAGAACCTAGAGACAGAAGAACTTCGCTGGAGAGAACATGGCAAAAGATCCTGGACAGAAACTGGAGACAGAACCTAGCGAGAGAACATGGCAAAAGATCGTGGACAGAAACTGGCCACAGAACCTAGAGACAGAACCTAGCGAGAGAACCTGGCTGAAGAACCTAGAGACAGAACCTGGCTACAGAACCTGGTTAGAACATGGCAAGAGAACCTGACTAGAAACTGGTGAGTGACCCTGGCTGGAGAACCTGGACAGAACCTGGCTGGAGAACCTAGCGAGGGAACATGGCTACAGAACCTGGCTGGAGAACCTGGAGAACCTGGCTGGAGAACCTAGCAGGAGAACATGGACACAGAACCTGGCTGGAGATCCTAACCAGAACTTCGCTGGAGATCCTGACCAGAACTTGGCTAGAGATCCTGGCTAGGCTGCTGATCAACTGAACGCTGTCTCCGTGTAATTCCTTCTTCGCCGACTCCGTCCACACCTTTGGGGAACCCTGGACCTGCTGGGGTTGGACCCCAGCATAAATGTACCTGTTGGCAAGGATGTAGAGAAAAGGGAACCCTTGTGCATTGTTGCTGGGAATGAAAATTGGTGCAGCCACTGTGGAAAGCAGTATGGAGTTACCTCAAAAATTAAAAATGGCACTGCCTTATGATCCAGCGATTCTACATTTGGAAATCTATCTGAAGAAATCTAAAACATAATCCAAAAGAATATAGTACCCTATGTTTATTGCAGCATTATTTATAACTAGAGGCCCAGTGCATGGATCCATGCACCAGTGGGGTCCCTCAGCCTGGCCTGCACCCTTGCACAATCAGGAACTCCTTGGGGGATGTTGGACTACTGGTTTTGGCCTGACCCCCACAGGCCAGGCTGAGGGACCCCACTGGTGCATGAATCCATGCACTGGGCCTCTAGTATGCAATATAAGATCTTTGGTTAATCTCTTCCTGCCCTCCCCCCTCCTCCCTTCCCTCTGAGATTCATCAGTCAGTTCCATGTTTCCATGACTGTGCATTGAGCATCTGCCCCCTGGTGGTCAGTGTGCATCATAGCTACTGGTTGAATGGTCGAACTGTTGCTTAGACATTTATGTATCTAGAACTAGAGGCCTGATGCATGAAATTCGTGAACGGGGGGGGGGGAGCGGGGAGAGGGGGTCCTTCAGCCCAGCCTGTACCCTCTCCAATCTGGAACCCCTCTGGGGGTATCCCTGGGATTGAGCCTAAACCGGCAGTCAGACATCTCTCTCACAATCCTGGACCCCTGGCTCCTAATCATTCGCCTGCCTGCCTGCCTGCCTGGTCATCCCTAACTGCCCCCTTTGCCAGCCTGGTCACCCCTTACTGCCCCCCCTGCCGACTGGTCACCCCCAACTGCCCCCCTCTGCCAGACTGGTCACCCCTAACTGCTCCCCATGCTGGCATGGTCACCCCTGCCACCCCTGCCAACACAGTCACCCCCAACTGCCCCCCCTGCTGGCCTGGTTGCCCCTTACTGCCCCCCGACAGCCAGGTCACCCCCAACTGCCCCCCCCTGCCAGCATGATTGCCCTAACTGCCCCCCTGCTGACCTGGTCACCCCTAACAGCCCCTGGTCACCCTTAACTGCCTCCCCTGCTGGCATGGTTGCCCCTAACTGCCACACCCGCCAGCCTGGATACCCCTAACTGCTCCCACCCCACCGGCCTGATCTAGTCACCTCTTACTGCCCCTCCTGACGGCCTGGTCACCTCCAACTGCCCCCCCTCTGCCAGCCTGGTCGCCCGTAACTGCCCCCCCTGCTGGCCTGGTTGCCCCAACTGCCCCCCACCCCCGCCAGCCTGGTCGCCCTGCATGGCCCCCCTGCTGGACTGGTTGCCCCACGCAGCCTGCTGTTCAGTCGTTTGGTTGTCCCTCACTAAGCCCCCTGCCAGCCTGGTCGCTCCACGCAGCCTGCTTGTTCAGTCATTTGGTCGTGCCTCACTAACCCCCCTGCCGGCCTGGTCACCCCATGTAGCCTGCTTATTCAGTTGTTTGGTTGTCCCTCACTAACCCCCCTGCTGGCCTGGTAGCCCCACACAGCCATCTGTGAGGGTGTGTGTTTAATTTGCATATTACTTCTTTATTATATAGGATAGCCAAGATTTGGAAGCAGCCCAAGTGTCCATCATTAGATGAGTGGCTAAAAAAGCTCTGGTACAGAAATTTATTTCTCATAGTTCTGTATGCTGGAAGTCAGAGGGTTAAGTGTGGACCCTCTTCAGGGTCACATGTTTCTTGTATGGAAGGCACAATGCAGCCCAGGGAGGTCTCTTTCATAAAAAACTTCAATCTCTTTCAGGAGGTCTCTACCTTAATGACCTAAGTACTGTCCAAAGGCTGCACTTCCTAATGCCATTACATCAAGCACTAGGATTTCAACATATGAATTTTGGGTAGGCACAAACATTCAGACTCTCTGTATTCAAAAAATCAAAACTTGCAAAAAATAACAGTCCAAAACTGGGAGAGGGGAGAGAAGGGAATAATGGTGCAATGCCTCTAAGAAATGTAATATTCACAAGAGGAAGGGAGATGTGACCCACAGTAATAAGGGTTGAAGCATATTGCCATTTTTCAAGAATAACATTGGCAAGAATTATCAAAGGAGATAGGCAATGAATGTAGGATAAAATTCCATCAGAGTATATAGTTAAGACATATGTTAACCAGGAGAATTAGG